GCGCGCCGACTTGGCGTCACCGCCGGCAGAGGTGGTGTCCGCTGCAAGAGCCGTTAATTTTGGCGGTGGGTCAAAACACCGTCACAATATATATATATATATATATATATTTTTTTTTTGTAAGAAAAATTTTATCACTAGAGAAACCACACAGAAAAGAGTGAAATTTAAATTTAATACGCTATGGTAGCCTAAAGCTTCATGGTTTAACGCCTGGAGAACTTTCATTAACAATTTCTAGGCCGAATATTTACCTGGCTCATGCTGTTGTGGATTTGGGGAGTTCAGCTGTTACAGTATAATTGAGCTGCTCAGATTCAATTAAAACAGCATCGTGCAACATTAGCAATAACAGTTGATGCGATTGGAAAGCGTACTGAAGCAAAAACAGCTAGAATTCCCGAGAAAACATGATAACGCCCGGCCACGTGCTGCGAAATAGATCAGGGACATGTTAAAAACGTCAAACTGGGATATCCTAATGCAATCAGCCTATTCACAGGATATTTCCCATTGTCTAAGTGCCACTTTTTACCATCGAAATTTACCATTAGCCCGTCCAAGAAACCCCTTATAATCCTATGAAGATATAAAAAATTGAGCCACTTTCTGGATATCTTCAAAAGATGAGTTGTTCGTTCGACGTATAATCTTTCTGTAAAATGGCTAGAATGGTGAATATGTATTACTCAATAATCTATGACTTTCTCTTTTTATTTAAAAAAAGGCAATTCGTATATCAAATCCAACTTATTTTTAAAAATATGTGAGCAGACATAATAGTTCAATTATAGAAATGAGAACATTAATTACTTTTGAAAATATATTTAAGTTTATAGTTTTTTTTTATAAAATTAAAAAAAATATATTTTTAAAATAAAAATATAATTTTAAAAAATTTTAAAAGAATATATATTTTTTTTAAGTGAATTTTTTTTCATAGATTTGTGATTATGATGCATTATTGTGATTATTATGTATTTGGTTTTAAACACTTCGCTTTAGGAACCTGCGTTATATATATATATCTCTCTTAAAGAAGAATACAGAATATGCCACCCCAAGAAATTCCAGAAAATCAGGTAAGTCAAACAAATAACGGTGCGGAAGGCAAGTTGCTACCTTTGCAAAATAAATGGAGTTTTTGGTTTTTCAATAATGACAAAACCAAGAAATGGGACGAAAATTTGATTCAAATTGAAGCATTTGATACAGCTGAAGGTTTTTGGAGTATCTACAATCATACAAAAGGACCTCAAGAGATTAATGTTGGCTGTGACTTCTGCATTTTCAAAGATGGCATCCGGCCAACATGGGATGATCCCAGGAACAAGATGGGCGGTCGTTGGATGATTAACTTGGGAAGACATGGCCAATCGAACGTGGAGTACTTTTGGCTGGAGGCCCTCTGCTGCTTGTTTGGAGAGGCTTTCGGAGAGGCGGGAGAAGACATCTGTGGAGCCGTGGTGCAGATAAGGCCCAAGGTAGACAGACTGGGGATTTGGACTGCCAACTCCTCGAACAGCAATGCCATCCTTAAGATTGGAAGAATCATCAAAGAAAGACTGGAAATCAAGCACAACATGACCTACGAAGTCCATAGCGATGCCATTACCACAAATCGGGGCAATCTACAGGCTAGATATACTTTGTAAACATTATGTTTGTGTGAATTACTCATTTTGTAAATACCCTTTGTCTAAATAAATTAAGGTTTTGTGTTTTCTTTTTCAAACTCTTTCAAAATGTTATTTATTTACTCTATTTTTAATGTTATAAAATATGTTTTGGTGATCTACTTTGAAGCAGTCACCTGGCGTTACGTCAGCGCTTTTATTGTAAATAATTTGTTATCTTCACATAGAAGATTACCAGATGTCTAAGAAGATATGCCGTTTCCCCACAAAGAGAATATTGCTTCCTATGTCACCTAACATCAAGCGTGGATTCTCTTCAACGACAATCATGACTAGTCATGGCTGCGTACAGGCAGACTCGGCTAGATATTAAAGAAGATTGAATCAGCTTATATCGCCAAAGCGAAGACCGAATCATAGACTACCTTTTTTCCACCCCTGTCCAAATAATTCTTCCTGCCAACATTCGTTCGAGCTGAACAAGGGCGAAGTCATGTATATAGCAAAGTTGCAGGAGGATGAATTTTATGTATATATCAAGAGAGGCTCCCCCACTTTCAAATATGCATAAAAATCAACAATGTTTAACTCTCATCTCAGTAAAAAAAACTCTACATTTTCAATAGGTAATGAGCCAAACACCATTTTTTGCAAAATCTGGTAGAAAGTCAACCTGTTTACTGTTTTTTTTTATTTGAATTTGATTCTCCCGCAACTTTATGTTGCCTTCTAGCTTTAAAATCTACCCCTGCCTCTTAATAAACTAAACACAAACATCTTATTTGGTAAATTCGAAGTATTTCAGAACTCTTCTCGTAGGAAGAATGCAATTGAAGCCGCCCTTGTACTAATAGGGGTCATAGCCCGAAACAATGGTAAACAGGTTGTTGGCTTTTTGTCTGAATTTGCCCAAACTGTTTTATGACCGATATCTTGTTATATCTATAAAAGTTTTTACTGGGGTGATAAGCATAGTACTTTGTTCTAATGTATAATTAAAGGGAGTCTATTTATCGATATACTAGTATACCAAATGTCCACAAATTATCCACTTAACTCTTTTTGATCCTTGCGATGATTTTAGGTTAATTTATTTTATAAAAATCAATTTAGTTTCAATTTTATTTCCAAAAATCAAATACAAAATTTTTAGCTGAGTAATTTTAAGTTTTAATCTTTGTAAGTGCAAAGTCAAACTGCTTTTCACATGTGTAGACATGTGGTGCGCTTACAGTAAAAGCAGTCGCTAACTACCCACCATGATTATCATGGCCTGTACCACGTGTACTAGGGATAAGCAAAAAAAAAAAGTTTGAATCTATATTTTATCTTTATGTATTTATTTCGTCTCATTTTTTACAGATTTTACACTCGAGCATTGCTCCCACGAGTCACTTTGTCTTGGCTATTCAAAAATGGTGAGTTAGTACGTAGAGATCTCCCCTACAAAATTTGCAGGGCAGCTGTTGTGTGATGAATTTCTTACAAAGCATCAGGGCCGGGTCGTTGGAATCGTGTATTGATGTCTTAATTTGAAGAATATCTTGTATAGTTGAATATTATATTATTTTTGTAGTTGAAGGTATAATTTCTTAACGGAAATTTGATACATATAATATAGATCGATTTTGTTTGAATCCTCTTTCATTATCTTTTTTTAAAAATAAACGTTCTTCCCTGATTTATTAACGTGATACTCCTGTTGAAGAATTGACAAGTCCGTAAGCTTGAAAATAAAAGTTGAACAAGAAACTTAGCCCTGGAAGCATTATTTATTTTATATTATCTTTTTTGTGATAGATTAAATAAAGCTCCTAAATTTGTCCGAAGGCAGATTCTCATGAATGCATTTATTATATTTTTGTCTGTGGTTGTATTATATTTGCACACCAAACTAGAAGTGTGTATGTTATTATCGGGAGAATAAATTACTGTATAGAGTAAACTTTTGTTTTGTAGATAATAGATGTAGGCACTCTTGTGTATATAACACTAGAAGAATGACCCGGCTTCGCCCGAGAAATCCCCCGAGTGAAGTATCCTTCATACTGAAAGTACATCAATAATAAATAGTAGAAGTACCATAGAATAGCAATACAGAAGAAACACATAAACTACAGGAAAAAAAGTGTGTAATGGCAAAAATTGTATTATATTAGTGTTTAGATATTTGATTTAATTATTTTTTGTAATCCATTTAGTTGTTTCAAAATTAATATAGTTTAAATAGACAGCAGCTTTTCCACCAAACCCCCATTAACCTTTGAAATTGCCAGAGTTGAGTGCCTGACTGTAAAGAAACCAGACTGCGATGCTCATCTTCTCAGTAAGAATAAAAAAAATAGGTTTATAAAAAAAAAATAATCCAAAATACTGGCATGTAAATATTTTTCTGTAAAAAAAATAAAAGAGCATATGGAAATATTAGGCAAACATATGTGTTCGCTAATGATTGCGACTGCATTTTAAACGATTTTTAAAAAGAGATTTAAACAAATAAAGGCCAGAACAAAAATTAATAAAAAATATGAAATCCATTATTTACATACATTCACAAAAGCAAACGATGACAGAATTGATGACTCTGATACTTGTATATTTTAATAATAATACCAGCCGAATGACCCGGGCAACGCCCAGGTTTTACCCGATTAAATTTTTTATTCAAATACTATTCGTTACAATTATAAATTGGCGCCGTGGATGTCACTCTTGTGAAACGTCCCGCTCCAAACTTTGTGTCAAAGAAGCGATATTTTTATAAAGAGATGATCTGACTTTGTGTCTTCTGCTCGAATGAATGTTTTTCTGTTAGAATTTTGTTCCTGCACACTAAAAATGAACTGGCTTCACCCGTGGTCTCAGCTTTTTGGAAATTTTCCCGATATAATTTTGTATCTGATAATCAAACATGATACAGCAATATTGTCATCATCATTTTCTGACTAAAAAAACAACTAATTTTGCCCAGAACCTGTCAGATTTATTTTTATTGGCTAAAAATCCGATAAATATATTTTCCAGATATTTCTCTATGTCCTGTCAAACATGTTTTACATGTACATTAGGTCAGCTGATATTACCTCCCATCTTCACCGCTAGAGGCGCTGCTTGCGAGCGAAAAGGCAAATTTGCAACGCAATTTGCAAATAACTCGAAGAATATTCGGGATAGAGACCTGAAATTTTTACTATAAGTTTTTCCAGATTCTACTCTATATACTGTTAAAATTTCAGTCAGATTAGTTACGTATTGTGGACGTGTATAGCCGACATAGATACACACATACATACATACATACATACATACACTGACTTTTATATATATAGGGATAAATGAGTTTTAAAAATTGTAAAAAAAAAATGCATTGGCCGGGAATCGAGCCCAGCCCGCGCGCGTGGCAGGCGAGCATTCTACCACTGAACCACCGATGCTTATAAGAAATGGCCATATTTGGGTATTTATTCCATTCACAAAAGCAAACGATGACAGAATTGATTGTTGATGACTCTGATACGTATATATTTTATTGATAATATATTTTAATAATAGTTTACGAATTTCTTAAATTTTAATTTGAAGTCTCGAGATATCGTTTAACCAGCACGCATCATCCACCATGCACTTATATTTTCAAAATGTGGTTTTTCACACAGAAATAATGTAATGTGTATTTTTCTCTCAATATATCATAAGTATTTAATATATGTAAATAATAATGAGTATATAAAAATAGTATTTATTATTAATTTGTTAACGTGATAATCCTGTTGAAGGACTGACAAGTCTGAAAGCTTGAAAATAAAAAGTTGTACAAGAAACTTAACCCTCGAAGCTATATTTATTTTATAATTTGTTGTTATAGTTGAGCAGACTTGATAATGTTATTTTTGCGAGATCTCTTTATTTCTTATGGTATTTTTTATTCCAAGAAATTTAACGTGGTTAGTCCAGTTAATAAGGCTTAAATATATTGTTAGATTGGATTGTGTGTCCTGGATTTTTATTGTTTAGGGGTGAAAAAACTATAGCCTGTGTCTTTTTTTGGGTTGATATCTAACTTCCATTCATTGCACCACATTGGGTTATAACAATTATGTAATTTTAGAGTTGTGTATTCTCAGTAGTTCCAATAATTATCAGTTTGATAATATTGCTGAGTCAACTACGAAAATCTTTGTTTGGCATTTTATATGTAGATATAAATCGTTGATATAAATGTTGAATAAATAATGTTCAAGGTTAGAGCCTAGAATGACTCCAATCTGGGTTGGCTTTGCCATGGTAATGATATTATTATTATTGATGGAAAGTGTACTTTCCTGGAAGTACTTTCTCAAAATATTGACGAAATCCTCTGTAAATTGTTGTTAATATGCTATCAAACATGGCTTTGATAAAGAAATATCTTATTTGGATATAGTCTATTACAGTGATTAGCTGGTGGGTTGTGGAGTGTCGTTTTCTAAATCCAAATTGTTGAGGAATGATAAAGTTAATAGAATCCATATATGTCTGCAAATCTGCTAAGAAAGATTCTCTCGTATACCTTACCGATGGTAGAGAGAAGGCTGATTGGTCTGAGATCTTCTGGTGATTTGGCGGGTGATTTCTTCGGAATGGTTATGATAATGGCATGTTTCCATGTCTTCGGGAAGTAGCACAGGTGTAATGTAGCATTGAAGATCGCAGCAAGGAAAACTTACATTTGATGGAAAGGTCTTTTGTCATTTGTGGCGTAGTTTTGTCATGGCATTGAGCTTTATTATTATCTAAGTTTTTAATTACTTCCTTGATTTAATTTGGCGTTGTCATTGATAGTATTTTTTTATTAAGTGTTGAAGTTTGAGATTGAATCAAGGAATAAAAGGATTATTTATTAAACAAAGTAACTTAAAACAAGATGTTAAAGTAGCAAAATTTTAAAGGCAAGTATATATAGGAAGGCGAGAGACAAAGACTATATATATTGACGTCGACCGCAGCGCCACCGCGGCCGTTGATTGGTCGATCCCCCAATGCTCCACGCCAATTTTGATCGCTATTCCAACACTCCCTCTCGATCCAAAATGTTCAGTAGACCTCTTAAGTAGTGGAATTTGTTTCGTGGAAGAGGTTTAGTCATTATATCAGCTAGCTGTTCTGAGCTGCAAACATGATGCACTTTAAGTTCACCTTCTTCATGTTTGGATCTAATGAAGTGGTAGCGAACATCAATATGTTTCGTTCGTTTGTGGAATACTGGATTTTCAACAAGTTTTATTGCTGCTTGGTTGTCGATATAAAGTTCAGTTTCTTTAGTAATATCACAGCCGATGCCCTGTAGAAGTCTTCTGATCCAAATCAATTCCTTGGCAGCACTGCAGGCAGCGATGTATTCACTTTCGGTGGTTGAAAGTGCGATAATTGGTTGTCGTTGGCTTGCCCAAGAAACAGTTCCTCCGTTCATCATGAAGGCATAACCAGTCGTACTTTTTCTGGAGTCAACATCACGAGCAAAATCACTATCAGAGTAGCCAACAAGTTGGTCTTGTCCAGTGAAGAGAATTCCCATGTGTGGAGTGCCTTTCAGATAACGGAAAATATTCTTCACTGTTGTACAATGTGCAGGTCCTGGATATTCTAGGAATTTACTCACTTGTGAAACTGCATAAGTGATATCTGGACGTGAAACACATGATGCAAACATAAGGGATCCAACAGCTTCTCGGAAAGGGAATTTAGGCATCTTTTCCTTTTGTTCTGGAGTAGGACAGTCCTGCTTTGTTAAGATGACAGAAGGATCCATAGGCACCGAAGCAGGAATACAGTCAGCCATATTAAATTTACTCAAAATTTTGTCAATATATGATGACTGGTGAATGAAAATACTTGCTCTATCTTCTGACTGCTCAATTTGTAGCCCAACAAAAAAGTTAACACTTCTAGATGTAATATCAAATGCGTGTTCTAACTCATCCATTATAATAGCTATTGCCTCTTTATCTTTAGATAGAATAATTCCATCATCAACATAGAGAGCTAAGATAACATTTGAATCATTGTGTGTTCCAATGAAAATGCACGGGTCGGCGTCTGATGTTTTGAAATTATGGCTATACAAAAAAATGGTAAATTTCTTATTCCAATTTCTAGAAGATTGTCTCAGACCATACAGACTTTTATGTAATCTATAGCAGCTATTATCATCTCTCTTGTAGCCTTCTGGTTGTTCAAGATAAACAAGTTCCTCTAATTCGCCATTGAGAAAAGCTGTCTTTACATCGAATTGCTTAAGAAACATCCTTTCAGAAGCAGCGTGTGATAAAAGAATGCGTAACGAATCATACCTGACTACTGGGCTAAACGTATCGAAATAGTCAACATTTTTTATTTGAGAATAGCCTTTTGCAACTAATCTGGCTTTGAACCGTTGAATTGTACCATCGGACTCCGTTTTAATTTTATAAACCCATTTACAACCGATAGGTTTATGACCATCTGCCAAACGTTCTAAAGTCCATGTTTTATTTTTATTTAATGCATCAATCTCTTCATCCATGGCTAATTTCCATCTTTCTGAATCTGAACTTGTTATTGCATCTATATAGTTACTGGGTTCATCAGCGAGCGCAAAGTTACATTGGCTATTCGAAACTTTAGAGCGTGTTATCATTGGATGCGAACTGATATCGGATACTGGCAGCATTTCCTGCACTGGGATGTTTGTTGTTGCAACTGGTGATTCATCCGGAGCGCTGTTAATCTGAAATATTATTTATTTCGTTTTGGTAGATTCTCTATCTGAATGTGGAGTAGCTTTCTCATCGAATGTGACATCTTTAGAAATTCTAATTTTTCTAGTTTTCCAATCCCATAATCTAAAATTTTTGCTTGTATTCTCATAACCTAAAAACATAAGTTTTATCGATTTATTATCCCACTTTTTACGGTTTTCTTTGGGAATATGCATATAAGCATTACAGCCAAATATTTTATAGTTAGCTACATTAGGCTTTGTGCCAAAGAAAAGTTCATAAGGTGTCGTTCCAGGGGTTTGCTTAGTCGCACTTCTATTTAGAATATAAGTTGCTGTGTTACATGCCTCAGCCCAAAAAAAATCCTGGAAGATTTCGTGAATTTAGCATGGACCTGGCTGCTTCCACAATCGTACGATTGTCTCTTTCTATACGTCCTATCTGTTCGTGCACATAAGGTGCAGTGAACTCGTGAATTATCCCAAATCTTTTACATAAATCTGCAAAATTATCGCTTTTGAATTCTAGCGCATTATCAGTCCTAAGAACTTTTATCTTATTTCCAGTTTGAGTATAGATTAGAGAAGCATATTCTTTGAATATATCTAGCACATCTGATTTGTTTTTAATAAAATAAATATGGCGATAACCACTAAAGTAATCTTTAAATAAGCATAAATACAGATATTTACTTAATGATTGAGTCTGCATAGGGCTACAAATATCAGCATAAATAAACTCACCTAGCTGGTAGTTTTTGCCATCTGAGGGATAGCACGACTTTCTATGGGCTTTTCCAAGTTGGCATCCTTCACAGAAGAAAAAATCTCCCTCTAAATCTTGAGGCTGCAGACCATCCACCAATCCTTTGGTCGCCATCTCTCGAAGTGTAGCAACTGGAAGATGCGCAAGTCTCTCGTGCCACAACTGAAGCTTGTTCTCGCTGGTGATGTATCCTTGTGATGATGACGTAACCTTGAAGAGCATCCTGTAGAGGCCGTTATGACGCACTCCTACGGCTTTTAGGTCATTATCCATGAAGATCTGTAGCTTGTCATGTTTGATAATGACGTTGAATCCTCTTCTTGTGGACGTAGAAAGGCTATACAAATTTTTCTTTAGTTGCGGCGAGTAGAGCACATTTCTTATGTACGTATTGTACCATCCACCGTCGACGTAGGCTTGAATCTCGATGTCTCCCATGCCTTCTGCAAGTAGTGTCGAGTTGTCTCCCAAGTAGATTGGATGATCACTGGTGAACGGCGTGTAGGTCTTGAACCACTCTCGTCGAAATGTCATGCTGCAGCTTGCACCGCTGTCAGCATACCAAATATCATTGGGCTCTACTTGATTATCGCACAAAATAAGTCAATAATCACTTGAACTTCCTTTTGAATCATGAAGATTTTTGGATTTATTTTTCTCATTAGCTAATCTTTTTCTACATTCGCGGCTCCAATGTCCAATTTTGTGACAATAGTGGCATTTAGTGTTCTTCTTGGCATCTTGAAAAGAACGTTGGGTATCTTTAGGCTTCGTTCGTGCTTGCCTGTGTAATAAGGCCTCGTCTTGTTTAGAAGAACCGCTTTGTTGATTCCTTGTTTCTTCAATCAAAAGTCTTGCAGTTAAATTGTTAAGAGTTTGAGCTTTCGGATCTAACGATTCCCACGCTGCAACAAAGTAGCGCATACTCGAAG